AGCTAGCCTAACCTACTTGGTGAAAGGTTTCCAGGCCAATGATGGAAGGGAAGGTGCCTGAGGAACAACACCCGAAATTGTCCTATGACCTCCACATGTATCCACACACAAACATGCACATACATATGCATAAAAAAATGTACATCTGAGCACAGTGGTGCAAGCCTTTAATCCTCATATTCAGGAGGCAGAGACAGGCAGATCTCTGAGTTCAAGGGAAGTCTGATCTGTATAGAGAGTGCCAGGGCTACATAGTGAGACCCTGTTTCAAAAAAGTTTTACAGCCAAACATTGTATGTACACACAGTAACTATAAATAATGAACTAGTTTTCCTGCTGTCAAAAATAGTGATAGGTTTTGTGCAACATGGATTATGATATACACATTTCCCAGTGCTCTTTGCTGATACTGCTTAGAAGCAGTGTTGTCTCAATAGCATATCACATCCAGATCACAGTTTCTAAGCCATTTTCTAATAAAAAGAACCAGAGCTGCTTGAAAAAATAGCTGATGTAGGTGTGATGGTGCACGCCTTTAATCCCAGCACTCTGGGGCAGACTCAGGCAGATCTCTGACTGTTCAAGGCCAGCCTACATTGTGAGTTCTTGGCCAGCTGGGGCTACAGGGAGACCCCTGTCTCAAAAAGACCAAAGAGAGAGAGAGAGAGAAATAGAGAGAAATAGAAATAGAAATAGAGAAATAGCTGATGCTAGAGTGGAAAAGGAAGTTACAAGATTAACTTATAGGGTTTTGTTATTGTTGGGCTTTGTGCTGTTTTGTTTGAGACAAGGTCTTACTCTAGCCCAAGCTGACCTTGAACCTACAATGATCTACCTGCCTCCCAAGTGCTGAGATTACAGGTATGAGCCACCACTCCCCTACTTCTATTCCCCAGCTTGAGTTTAATCCCTGGAACCCATGGTAGAAGGAAAGAAATAACTCCTGGAAAATTCTCCTGACCTCCACACCCCCATAAATATAATGATAGTAATAAATAAAGTAAGAGGGGGATGTGTTGGGAGTTGGGGATGGATATGATCAAAATACATTGTACACATATGATGAAATTGTCAAAGAATAAATAAAAAGTATTCTAAAATTAATAATAAAACATGTCTTAACAGGATACAGGAGCCAACTTTAAAAAGCTCCATAGAAAGATGGCTCAGCAGGTAAGGCACTTGCTGCCAAGCCTGTTGACCTAAGTTCTGTCCCCAGGACCCACATAGTAGAAGGAGGTAGCTGACTCCTACCAGTTGTCCTCTGTTTTCCAGTTATGTGCTCTGGCACAAGTGTGCCCCCACACACAAATAAATAAGCTCAATGGCCAAAGATGGAGCAACAGGAGCAATAAAATAAATAGACTTATTTGTTGGATATTAATAAATTGTATTATATTTACTGGATTGTAACAGTATAAAAATAGACATGAGGCTATACTTATATAGTAATAACTGGATTCTTTTTTGTAGGAAAAATCCAAATCTAGGTAGATACTTTTCTCTCCAAAAGATAGAACTTAATCTCTCTCTCCTTGACTAGGGGCTAGACTTATTGACTGACTTTTTAAGAAAAGAATACCTGAAAGGGAAGAATAGTACTACACAGTGCAGAGACCTGGTGGATGCACCTTTTCCAAGTGATTAAAGTTTACACATCGTTAGTGAGCGCTGTGGCTAACTTGTGTACTGACACAGTGTGAGGAAAAGAGTACTACATATCTGTGGTATTCTAAAACACTGGGAGCCTCAGTCTAAACATGAGGAGAGCATCAAACCAACCCAAATTAAAGGGCATTCTATCAGGCAATTCTGTTTAAAAACATATCGTCTTAATTTTATGTATATGAGTGTATTCCCTGTATGTATGTAAGTGCATCCGTGTTATGCCATGCCTGAGGAAGTCAAAAGAGGACATCGGATTCCCTGGAATTGGAGTTATGGACAGTTGTTAGCTGCCACCATGTGGGTGCTGGAAACCAAACCTGGGTCCTCTGCAAGAGCAGCCAATGTTCTTAACAAGTGAGTCATCTCTCCAGCTCCCTTTAGCAAGTCTTTCACCAAAGTTGTGAAAAACAAGGAAAAAGAAACTTACAGATGAGCAGAAACTAAGGAGACTAATTATTTAACTATTTAATTGGATCTTGAAACAGAATAATGGCATTAATGGAAAGACTGGTGAAACCCTGGTAATGTCTAGAGTTTTGGTAATAGTCATGTGTCAGTGTTCTCTTAGTTTTCACAAATGTACATAGTTTGATAAATGTATTATGTAAGATGATGCAACTGGGAAAACTAGGGGCTGGAGAGATGGCTCAACTATTTAGAGCACTGGATGCTCTTGCAGAGGACTCAGGTTTGGTTCCCAGCACCCACATGGTACCTAACAACTGTCCATAACTCCAGTTCCAGGGGAATCCAACACCCTCTACTGTCCTCTGTGAGCATTGCATGCATGCATGTGGCACACTTACATACATATAACAAAACACATAAAATTAAACTAAAAAATTTTTTTTTCAAAATAACAGGGTTCTTTAAATTGTCTCGGGTTCAGCAGTTAAGAACACTTTATTCTCTTGCAGAGAACCTGGAATCAGTTCCCAGCACTCAAATAGCATACAACCATCTGTAGCTCCAGTTAGAGGGGATTCAATGCCCTCTTCTGGCCTCTGATGGCACCTGGCATGAACATGGTATACATATAGACAGACAGTCAAAACACTCATACACATAAAAATAAAGCCTTAAAAAAAAAAATCTAGCCGGGTGGGGTGGTACATGCCTGTAGTCCCAGTACTTGGGAGGCAGAGGCAGGCGGATCTCTGTGAGTTCAAGGCCAGCTTGGTCTACAAGTTCCAGGACAGCTGGGGCTACAGGGAGACCCTGTCTCAAAAAAAA